ACGGCCATGAACTTGGCCAGCGCTGGGTACCCAAGGATGGCGTTGTACGACAGGCGAATGTGAGCGACGTCGAAGTCGATGAGCTCGGTGCGGTAGTTGTCGCGTGCCCCGAAGGTGACAGGGAGGCAGACCCGCCCAATCGGGACCGTGGAGCCGTCGGTGATACCGAAGAAAGGCTTGGTTGGCTGAAGCTGGCTGTAGGGCACTTGGAGGTTGTTGAATGTCTCCACGGACAGGACGTTGAGCCCTGCCCCGCCATCGATGAGGGTCTTGGTGACCACCACGTTGCTGACGATCGGGGAGCAAAGCATCGGGAGAACTTCGGCTGTAGCCGCACACTTGAGCTGATCTGCTGAGCTGAACGTGATGGCGCACGCCGACCACCTGAGAGGGCGCGTGGCTTCGAGCCTGGGGAGGACTGCGTTCACTTCACGGGCGAACTGCTTGAAGATGCAGGCGATCGCGCGCGGCTCCTGGAAGCCCCCAGCCCCCTCGTCCTGGTGGCGGTCCTCGTTTCTCCTTGGCTGCGGCGGCAGCGGTGGGAGGCCTGCGTTGCCTTGCGCGCGATCCTTGAGAGGCTGGGGCTTGTGCCCCGCCCAGGATGCAGGCGATCGCGCGCGGCTCCTGGAAGCCCCCAGCCCCCTCGTCCTGGTGGCGGTCCTCGTTTCTCCTTGGCTGCGGCGGCAGCGGTGGGAGGCCTGCGTTGCCTTGCGCGCGATCCTTGAGAGGCCGATCCCTCCAGCCTCCCTCGCGAGGCTGATCCCTCCAGCCTCCCTCGCGAGGCGGGTCTGGCCAGCGATCCTCGCGAGGTTGATCGCGCCACCCTTGGCGCGGGCCACGGTCTTCCCAGCGTCCTGCGTTCCTTCCTCCTCCTCGGTCGTAGCCCCGGTCACTGCGGTTAGGGCGACGGCCGATCCTTCCTTCTCGCACGGCTCGGAGCTCTTGACATTCGTTGGTGTTGTGGGTGTGGAGGTCGTGGTACACACAGTACCGGCTGTCCTTGGAAGGTTCGGGCTGATCTCTGCCCCGCTTGGTGTCTGGTTCTGCCGCGAGCACGGCAGCCCCCTTGCGCTTCACATCCTTGGCCTTGGGCTTCTTCTCTTCTGGGTCTGCGGCAGGTAGCTCGAGGAGGGAGAGACGCCCTTCCTCGGCCCTGGCGCACTTGGTTGCCAGGTTGAACAGTTCCAAAGAAGTGCGCAGGTCTTCATGCATTGCCAGCTCTTCCTTCATCTTGACGTCGTGCACGCCGTCGGAGAAGGCCAAGATGATGGCCTCCTCAGTCACCTTGGGAATCTTGAGGCACGCGTTGTTGAAGCACTGGATGTACTTCTGCAGGGTCTCCCCGGGCTGTTGCTTGATGCGGCGCATGTCGCTCACGGGGGGTGGCCGGTCGCGAGTGTCTTGAAAGTTGGCGATGAAGCGGGTGCGCATCTCGTCCCAGGAGGAGATTGTGCCTGGAGCCAGGTTCAGGAGCCAGGTGCGGGCCCCGTCCTTGAGTGCCATGGGGAACCAGTTCGCCATGACCTTCTCGTCTCCGTTGGCAGCTTCGATGCCCAGCTCATAGAGTTGGAGGAACTCCGTAGGGTCAGCCGTGTCGCCGTAGCGAGGAGGCAAGTCTGGCTTGAACTTGCCGGGCCACGCGACGCTGCGTAGCTCGGCGGTGAAGGCGCGACAGCCTGCTATGGCCACGGGAGGCCTTGGATGACGGGGAGCTTGGTCTTGCATGTCCCCACGCGCTGCAGCTGGGAGCAGCGCGGGGTCTTGACGCGCGGGAGCAGGAGCATGGTCGCGACGTGCTGGAGCAGGGAGCGCCCGGGCAGCTTCTTGCGGGCGAGGGACTTCTTGATAGCTCTGCTCTTGCTGCGCTGGCGCCTGACGGAGCGGGTTCCGCCCAGGGGCCACACGCCTTGGAGCCATGGCGCCTTCCTAAGGAGGAGGCGGCCGGGGCGCCGCCGGAGCTTCATTGCCCGTGCGGGGCGGGGTGCGGTGCAGCGGAACGGATGGCGCAGGAGAGCCCCCTGCGGCGCAGACGAGCTCGGCGATGCGGTCGAGCCATTCTTCATAGACGTCGTCGACGGGACGGTAATGCAGGAGCTCGTTCGCTGCGATGAGGGCAGCCCGAGACTCCATGGGCGCGCGGAGCGCGCGGGACGAAGAACCAGCTGGGGTGAGCGAGGGAGTTGCGGTGCGGCCGTCTTGCCGCACGGACGGATGCTGGGACGATGCTTGCTGCTCGTCCCCCGTCGGGCCGGTGGCGGCGTTGATGGCAGGTGACGGGGAACGACGAGGACGCCCGCCGACAGGGGCCGTCTGGGCGACGCGGGAAGCGAGCGCGGCCCGGCGCTCGGCGCGGGCCCGACGAGCGTCAGACATGGGCGTGATGGTCGGAGGAGAACGGGGTGGTGGAAGACGAATCCCGGCGCACCCCTACCTGGCGCGCCAAATGTCGGATTTCGGGTTCCGGCAGACCCTTGAGGTTCGAACACTGGGGTGCGTGCGGAGATTTCGCCTCCTGCCTACCTGCACTCCTCTGCCTTGCTAGGATCTAAACTAAGAAAAGAACAACACAAGAGACGCAGGGTTTATACTGGTTCGGGCCACCGTTGTGGTGTAATACCCTACTCCAGTGTGTGGTGTGGTGGATTGCCTCTTGGGCTGATGATGATGAACAATACAAGGAAGAACAGCCTCTCGAGGGTCTGTTCTTGGCTGGGGCGATGAACTGCTGGGAGGAGCTCAGTCACCCTTCTCTCTCTCTCTACCTGATCTAAACCCCTCTCTTTCCTTCCCTCCTCAGCTCTCTTTGCTCTGTGGGTGGCTGGTCTTATTTATAGAGGCCCTGGCCCTCTTCCCAAATATCGAGCGGGAAGGGAGCCAACAATGGCGGGCTAATTTGAAGGGGGACAGCTAGTATCAGCTATCCTGACAAAAGTAGTCTTCGCCTGCGCAAAGCTCTGGTGATGACGCCGTCTTGGGCTCCACGGTGACCTCCGTCTCGTAGTCCTCCTGGTCTTGGTCTCGTTGCACCGAAATGGCAACCTTTGCCTGATGCCTCGGTACTCCGCGGCTGCGCTTACCCCCTTTGCACTAAAGAGGAAGGGAGGACACTGCGCGGGCTGGCACCCGCCTGGCACCCCCGGTCGTCATGGCTTGCGTCACGGGCACCTCGTGAGGTACCCCGCCTTGATCTCTCCGCCTCCTCGTGAGCCAGCCTGACGAGGCTGCGCCTGAGGAAGCTCCGCGTCGTCTGCCCCGCGAGGCTTGGCCCCTCGCGAGGGTCTTGGGTTTGTGTTGGTGAAGATGGGCCGCGCTGGGCCCCCCTTTGAGCCACGCCGCAGGCCGCAGGCAGGAAAGTCTGGGGACCCCCATTCCCAGAACGCCGACACTATGTTTGGCAGAGCATTTGGGCAGGAAAACAAACTTTCAAGAAGGGGTGTGTATGGAGAGTTGGCAATGGTACGAAAATAAATATATGGAATGATTGTTGGGTTCCAAATAGTATTTCAAGGAAAATTATCACGACGCGGGGCAACTGTGTACTGTCAAAGGTGAATGAACTTATTAACCCGGTCACGGGGAATGGGATGAGGCACTAATCAGAGATAATTTTTGGCACATTGATGTGGAAAGAATTTTGCAAATCCCAATATATCAGTATGACACAGAAGATTTTGTCTCATGGCACTTAACAAAATCGGGTGTTTTTTCTGTCCGCTCGGCCTATTACAAGCAGTGGGAGGAGACTTATGTTTCGAAGGATTCAAATCCTAATGGTATAAGCGGATCTGCTCAACACCCGGGCTGGAAGAAACTTTGGAGTTTAAAGATACCAAGCAAAATAAAAATTTTCTTATGAAGATGTCTTCATGATGCCATACCCTGTTGTTGTATACTGGCAAACAGACATATTTCTAAGTCTGCTCAATGTCCGCTATGCTTAATGCAGGCAGAAGATATTGCTCATATGGCCTTCAAATGTAACAGGGCTCAGGAGATATAGAGAAATATGGGACTGCATGACATAATAGCAAGAGTTGCATAACAGGGGAGATCGGGTGCTGAGATTTTTGAAATCTTTCTTTATGAACCGGCTAACCAGACGCAATATATGGATGTCGTTGATTTACCAGAGCTGATTGCTATTACTAGCTGCTATATATGGTGGCAAAGGAGGCAAATAGTGAGACAAGAAGAGGTTCAATGCTCGGTTAGGTCCTGCCAGTCCATCAGGGCTCTCTCATTGAATTTTGTACGAGTTGCAACTAAACCTACAACACTGCCGCGGCTGAACAAATGGAGGAAGCCATTACTTGGCCAATATCTCGTTAATGTTGATGCTTCCTTCGTAGAAGAGGACAATGCAGCATCCTGTGGTACAGTTATAAGAGATAGCATGGTATATTTGTGGCTGCAGCCACGGTCAAATTAGAGCATGTGGCGGATGTGATATCGGTGGAAGCAGGCGCTCTTGTGGAAGGTCTCAAACTTGCTGGCAATTTGGGATTGAACTCTATTTTGATACAATCTGATAATGTGATTATTGTGGAAGCTCTTTAGGGAAACTCAGGACACTCAATGATCGCGGCTCCTATACTAGATGTCTGTCGCTCACTTAGTGATTTCGGGAAGGCCTTATTAAAGTATTGTAACCGGGAATCTAATATGGTAGCTCATTCGCTAGCTCAAAATGAACGTGTTGATCCACCAAGCTTATGGTTGGACTCACCTCCGGAATTTATTACTGATTTTTTAACGGACAATGTAAGGGTCGCATAATTTTAATAAAGGTAGCCATCAAGGCCTTTCCATAAAAAAACCAAAACCAAAACCGATACACACGAGATTTGATTTGAAAGGGCATGGTCATCGCACGCCACACCGCCCACCCGTAGAACAAAAAGAAAAAAAGAAAAGGGGAAAAATCGCATCAAACCCTCTTCCGCATCCTTCTCCTCGGTGGCTTCCGGTTCGTAAGGGGATCTCCGGCGGCGGCGGCGGCGATGGCCCGAAAGAGGAAGACGGACGCCGCACCGCGGTTGGACGAGGCCGACCGCACGCTCTACTCCAGCTTCTGTGGCGCCGCCAATTCCCTCTCCCAGCTATACTCCCAGGCCATGGCCCAGCAGAAGCTCTCCTTCCAGGCTGGCGAGCGGCACGCCCTCGTCAGTGACCCTTCTCTCTCCGTCCTCCTCTTTTTCTCTCTTCGGTCGGTTGTTTGTAGGAATTTCGATTGGCTGCGCGTGTAGTTTACAGCTATAGATTGGTCTGGTGGTCGGTGAGGGCATACGTTGGGCTTGACAGTGGATACAGCCACATCAGATTTGGCCATCCTTAGGGGATACCATGTAAGAATTGGATGTGCAACCAAAGCCTCAGAGAATGAAATGTCAATGTTCAGAGGTTGTAACTGATCCCTTGAGCAGTCGTAATTCAATGTTTGTTCCCTTCCGTGTTTCATTATAGCTAACATGGACTTGTGTTGCAGTCTTTTACAAAAAAGCAAGGGTACCAAAGTATGAAATTTTGTTCGACCTGGATTTTCAAGAGAAACAGAAAGGCATCAATAAGAATGGAGAAATATGTATCTTGTTGTTAAGATTTAGACAGTTAGTACCCATTTTGTTTCTAGCCAAAATATGAGAGTAATCTGTAATCGTAGTTCTTACAGCTTGTATGTACCCTTTTTTTCTAGCTTGTATTAAGTAGGGGAGAAAATGTACTTTCGCTAGCGATACTAGATTCGAACATTGCATGGAAATGTACCCTGGCTAAATTTCAATTTAATCATACAGGAAAAGCTCCACCAATGGATCTTGAGGATGCATGATGAGGAGTCGAGGCTTACTGTTGCAGACATAATGTCACATATCCAGGTTCGATCTTAGAACTCCCTGATTTACGTTGCTGCCTCCATTTCTGATAATATTGAATTTTGTGTTGTTTTTTGTCGAACATCACGATATATGAATCATGATCTTGTCAGTGTATAGGTGTATGTCTTTTTAACTTTCACTATCTAATATCTATTGTCTTGGGTTCAATAGTTCTCATATGTATTATAAGCAATTTAACCAATATTTGGTATATTGTTGCTTTCTTTTATAGCATGAGATTGACTATGGAGGTACTGATGCACATGTATCCCCAAGGGTACATCAGCATCCCATGAGTGTGAATCCGTTTACAATTATCCAACCCTCAGCTGGGTCATACGCACAAGCAACATCCGGGCATGCTCCCAGACCCAGCCTCAGTGACCAGTCAAAGAATACAATATTCTCAAATGCATTATCAAGCCCAGTCCGCAGGAGTCTCCAGACGTATCACTTAACCCAAGGTGCTGGTAATGGAGGACGGAACACTGAAGCAAACTCAGCCGGGCAAAACCGAGAGGCCAACTCTGCAAGCTCCAATGATACCTCCATGGACATGGTTTCAGACAGCGCGGGAAATGGGTACTACTAAGTCAGTTTCTGGAAACATGTTGCATGCACAACCAGGAAGCATTGAGTGCCAGTATTTTCTCTGGTTTTTGTATGTTATGTATTTTTCCTAAAAAGCTCATGCACTGTGTGGCTTTATAGTTGCACACCTGGCGATTCACTTAAAGTTATTGGATTTGTTTTCTTTTGTTCAAGCCTGTTTGGAGAGAAATCTATATGTATGCCTGGTTCATGTCTTATATCCCAACAATCTTTTTGGGGCTTTGCCATGAAGATTCTGAATGTAAATGAAAATTGCTATGATATAGCAAAGAGTTTATGTGCTTAATACAATGAGAGGGTTAAATTATGATGTATCGGCAATGGTAACAAAAATTATCATTATCATTTGGTTATCGCATTATCAGGATGTGCCATCTTTGAATTCTTTTGGCTCTGTTATGCTTGAAAGTTCATTACATATTTTAGTGGTAATATTCCACACACCCCATGGCCTTACTCCTGGGTTGTATTATTTGTATTCAAGGAAATTAATATAAAATATCTCTCTTTTAGCAGGCTTGTGGTTGCTTCTACGGGCCAACCAGCTATCCTCCTCTGCACAGAATTGGGTCATTAGGGAGGCGAGAGCCGCCATGGTTTTCGACTTGTCCCGTCCGAGTTGTCACGCCAGCCATTTATTGTGAATGTTGTGCCGTAAGGCGGCAATTGCTTCTGCGTTGGGATAGCCTACTATTTGGTTCTTCTTAGTTGTCACAGCCCTAGAATAATTGAGTGTAATTAATGCATTAGAAGCATTCATGATTTCGGAGAAACTTGAATTGAGGGAATTTTCAAGCCTCAAAAAATATTAAATAAAGGGCAAGAACCCTGAAAATTGCATTCTCTGAATCCAATATGCCTTCATTAATGTTTGATATTTTTGGCAAGGGTTTTGGTCCATACCAAAAATAATGAACATTTTTAAGGATTAATTTTGGTCACTGAATTTAAATCATATTGTATTTGAATTTGAAGTTATATTCATATAACTAGGATATATTTTCAAATGCTTCTGAAATAATGTATGTGCCTTTGGGAAAGGTCCATGAAGCAACATAAAAATATTTAGAGGATTTTGGCATTGTTTGAATTCTGTTTGAATTCAAAACAATGGCGAAAGAATTTAATTAACAGAAAAGGAAATTCATAGAAAAGCAGAGAGAGGGACATGACTTACCTGTCACAGCCCACTTAATAGGCCAGCCCACCAGGGGTAGCCTTGTCCTCCTCCTCTCGCTAGTAGGGAGGGTGCTCGCACGCGTCGGCATGCAGCTGCCTGCCTGGCCCTCCCTAGGCTAGCGTGACGAGCGGGTTAACGTCATCGCCCCCGTCTGGACCCCCGCTCACCCCCCCTCGCTCCCTCACATGTTCGCCGCCATGGCCGAAGCCATTGAGGCGACACCGTCGTGAACCCCGTGGCCACCGGCCCTCCCTCGCCCAGCCCACCTGTCCATTGGCCCTCTGCATCCCTGCACGCCACCCCGTCGAAGAACCCGAGCTCAGACGCGCTGCAGCGATGGCCTCGAGCTCACCTTACCGCCACAGCCGACGGACCTCGCTGTCGATTCACCGGACTCCATTCTTTCCCAGCCTCTCCAGCAACACCGTTAGACCCGTGGTGAGCCACTGAACCGTTTCGCCCTTGCCCATCGTCCATCGCACCCCCTAGCCGTCCTTTCCGTCGAAGCCGAATTCCGGCCGTCGTCGAACCTCGTCGCTGCGGCCGCTACAGGGCACCCCGCGACCTGCTGCTGCTTCGGCTGAATGCGCATGAGCATGGGTGATGTCTACTACGCAACTTTATTCTTGTAGACTCGTGTTGAGCCTCCAAGCGTAGAGTTTTGTAGGACAGTAGCAATTCTCCCTCAAGTGGATGACCTAAGGTTTATAATTCCGTGGGAGGCGTAGGATGAAGATGGCCTCTCTCAAACAACCCTGCAACCAAATACAAGAAAACTCTTGTGTCCCCAACACACCCAATACAATGGAAAATTGTATAGGTCCACTAGTTCGGCGAAGAGATGATGATAAAAGTGTAATATGGATGATAGAAATATATTTTTATAATCTGGAACTAAAAAACAGCAAGGTAGCAATTGGTAAAATGGAGCACAAACGATATTGCGATGCTTGAAAACAAGGCCTAAGGTCCGTACTTTCGCTAGTGCAATCTCTCAACAATGCTAATATAATTGGATCATATAACCATCCCTCAATGTGCGATGAAGAATCACTCCAAAGTTCCTATCTAGCGGAGAACATAAGAAGAAATTATTTGCAGCTATTCTTTCTGATCGATCTATCCAAGAGTTCGTACTAAAATAACATCAAGTTATTCTTTTCGATCGATCTATCGAGAGTTCGTACTAAAATAATGTTGGAAATATGCCCTAGAGGCAATAATAAAATGGTTATTATTATATTTCCTTGTTCATGATAATTGTCTATTGTTCATGCTATAATTATGTTATCCGGAAATGTTAATACATGTGTGAATACATAGACCACAACATGTCCCTAGTGAGCCTCTAGTTGACTAGCTCGTTGATCAATAGATGGTTACGGTTTCCTGACCATGGACATTGGATGTCATTGATAACGGGATCACATCATTAGGAGAATGATGTGATGGACAATACCCAATCCTAAGCATAGCACAAGATCGTGTAGTTCGTCTGCTAGAGCTTTTCTAAGTGTCAAGTATCATTTCCTTAGACCATGAGATTGTGCAACTCCCGGATACCGTAGGAGTGCTTTGGGTGTACCAAACGTCACAACGTAACTGGGTGGCTATAAAGGTACACTACAGGTATCTCTGAAAGTGTCTGTTGGGTTGGCATGAATCGAGACTGAGATTTGTCACTCCGTATGACAGAGAGGTATCTCTGGGCCCACTCGGTAATGCATCATCATAATGAGCTTAGTGTGACTAAGTAGTTGGTCACGGGATCATGCATTACGGAACAAGTAAAGTGACTTGCGGTAACGAGATTGAACAAGGTATTGGGATACCGACGATCGAATCTCGGGCAAGTAACGTACCGATTGACAAAGGGAATTGTATACGGGATTGCTTGAATCCTCGACATCGTGGTTCATCTGATGAGATCATCGTGGAACATGTGGGAGCCAACATGGGTATCCAGATCCCGCTGTTGGTTATTGGCCGAAGAGTTGTCTCGGTCATGTCTGCATGGTTCCTGAACCCGTAGGGTCTACACACTTAAGGTTCGATGACGCTAGGGTTATTAGGAAGACTTGTATGTGATTACCGAATGTTGTTCGGAGTCCCGGATGAGATCCCGGACGTCACGAGGAGTTCTGGAATGGTCCGGAGGTGAAGATTTACATGTAGGAAGTTATCGTACGGTCACCAGAAAGGTTCGGGGGCATATCGGTATTGTACCGGGGCCACCGGAGGGGTTCCAGGGGTCCACCGGGAGGGACCACCTCTCTCGGAGGGCCTAATGGGCTGTAGAGGAAAGGGAACTAGCCCTACATGGTCTGGGCGCATCCCCCCTTGGGCCCATGCGCCTAGGGTTGGGGGGGAAGCCCTAAGGGGGGCGCCCCCTTGCTTGGGGGGCAAGCCCCCTCCCCTTGGCCGCCGCCCCCCTCTAGATCTCATCTAGAGGGGGCCTCCCCCCTTCCTCCTTCCCCTATATATAGAGGGGCAAGGGGAGGGCTGCATACGACATCCAAGGCGCAGCCCCTCCCCTCCCCAGCACCTCTCCTCCTCCGCAAGAGCTTGACGAAGCCCTGCCGGAGTACTGCTGCTCCACCACCACCATGCCGTCGTGCTACTGTTGGAGCCCTCTTCCTCAACCTCTCCCTCCTCCTTGTTGGATCAAGGCGCAGGAGACGTCCTCGCTCTGTACGTGTGTTGAACGTGAAGGTGCCATCCGTTCGGCGCTAGGATCATCGGTGATTTGGATCACGACGAGTATGACTCCATCATCCCCGTTCTCTTGAACGCTTCCGCTCGCGATCTACAAGGGTATGTAGATGCACTCCTCTACCCCTCGTTGCTAGATGACTCCATAGATTGATCTTGGTGATGCGTAGAAAATTTTAAATTTCTGCTACGATCCCCAACAATGGCATCATGAGCTAGGTCTATGCGTAGTTTCTATGCACGAGTATAACACAAGTTTTTGTGGGCGTCGATTTTTTCAATTTACTTGTCGTTACTAGTCTTATCTTGATTCGGCAACATCGTGGGATGAAGTGGCCCGGACCGACCTTACATGTACGCTTACGTGAGACTGGTTCCACAGACTGACATGCACTAGTTGCATAAGGTGGCTAGCGGGTGTCTGTCTCTCCCACTTTAGTCGGATCGGATTCGATGAAAAGGGTCCTTATGAAGGGTAAATAGAAATTGGCATATCACGTTGTGGTTTTGGCGTAGGTAAGAAACGTTCTTGCTAGAAACCTATAGCAGCCACGTAAAAACTTGCAACAACAATTAGAGGACGTCTAACTTGTTTTTGCAGCATATGCCGTGTGATGTGATGTGGCCAAAAGGATGTGATGAATGATATATGTGATGTATGAGATTGATCATGTTATTGTAATAGGAATCACGACTTGCATGCCGATGAGTATGACAACCGGCAGGAGCCATAGGAGTTGTCTTAATTTATTTATGACCTGCGTGTCAACTTATACGTCATGTAATTACTTTACTTTACTTTATCTCTAACTGTTAGCCATAGTAGTAGAAGTAATAGTTGACGAGACAACTTCATGAAGACACGATGATGGAGATCATGATGATGGAGATCATGGTGTCATGCCGGTGACGACGATGATCATGGCGCCCCAAAGATGGAGATCAAAAAGGAGCAAAATGATATTGGCCATATCATGTCACTATTTGATTGCATGTGGTGTTTATCATGTTTTACATCTTATTTGCTTAGAACGACGGTAGCATAAATAAGATGATCCCTCACAATAATTTCAAGAAAGTGTTCCCCCTAACTGTGCATCGTTGCTAAGGTCCGTTGTTCCGAAGCACCACGTGATGATCGGGTGTGATAGGTTCTAACGTTCGCATACAACGGGTGTAAGCTAGATTTACACACGCAAAACACTTAGGTTGACTTGACGAGCCTAGCATGTACAGACATGGCCTCGAAACACGGAAGACCAAAAGGTCGAACATGAGTCGTATAGAAGATACGATCAACATGAAGATGTTCACCGATGATGACTAGTCCGTCTCACGTGATGATCGGACACGGCCTAGTTGAATCGGATCATGTATCACTTAGATGACTAGAGGGATGTCTATCTGAGTGGGAGTTCATTAAATAATTTGATTAGATGAACTTAATTATCATGAACTTAGTCTAAAATCTTTACAATATGTCTTGTAGATCAAATGGCCTACGCTAATGTTGTCCTCAACTTCAACGCATTCCTAGAGAAAACCAAGCTGAAAGACAATGGTAGCAACTATACAGACTGGGTCTGGAACTTGAGGATCATCCTCATAGCTGCCAAGAAAGCATAACTCCTTGAAGCACCGCTAGGTGAAGCACCACCCCCAGCAAACCAAGACGTTATGAACGC